CAGAGAACAGACATTGTACATTCATAACTTTTTAGTCCTTTGTTTCCGAAGAAAAATTTAATTTTTCGTTTTTTTTTTCAAAACTACTCATGTTGCCCTTGAGTTTTTGTGTACGCACATGTTTGAGAACATCCGCCCTTCCACCATGCGAAATCGAAAAATCACAACAACAGGCGGTATACACCGCAAATTTATTACATTTCCTTGAGGAAGTAATGGAAGGAAGTCAAATGTGTACGATTTTTTGAAACGTGTACACGAGTATTTCACCTTTCTCGCAAACATAACAAAAGATGATAATTTCTAAAACTATTTCCCGAAAGCACGTGTACTCACACAACTCAGGACAACGATGAATGAAATAACTAAAGAACATCCAAATAACAGCTTGCTTTGTGCTTCATTTTGGCTAATACATACCAGATGACACGCAGTGGAGCTCCGATGCCCATTGGAGAACTGGAGAACGACGTTTCTTGATACGTATATGCTTTCACTCACAAAGCAGTTCTCATCTGATTCACAAGGTTTTGTTTTAGATGTAATCTAGAGAAAATTCAATTGCTTTCAGACATCCAAAATCACTTTATTTATTTTTTATAACGAAGTATTAAGCCAAGTTCCATAAAAATCGTGAGAAATTTTAAGAATAAGAAAAAGTCGGGAGAAATATATTGTAAATCGGGTTGGCGGGAGAGCTGTCGAAAATCGGGAGAGTTGGCAACTCTGTAAATGTCATGATAAAAATGTATCTCCCCCCTCCCCTGTAGAATGTTGCCATTGCTTGCTTTTAAATTGTTGAGTTTGTTAATCAAAAGTTCGTTAAAGTTTTACAAAAATATGAAATTGATGATAAAAAAAAATTTCCAAATTTCAAATTTGAGCCTTTCAGATGGCCATAATCCATAATTGAAGTTCAAAACTGGATGGCTCTAGGTACCGTCGCTTTATCACAATGCGAGAAACATACATACATTTATGCAGATTCTTCATTATTTTTTTTATTCAAATACAGGACGATAGTATTTACTGGCAATGATTTGAAAAGTGATACAGCCTTTTAAAGTTTTCAATGAAAAATCGCAAAACGAAAATAATTTCGACGCAAAATCGCAAAACGAAAACAATTTCAACGCAAAATTGCAGCGAATCTTCAGGGACAAAACCCCTTTGGACTAAAAATTAACTTATTCTAATAAGATACACAACATATGTCGTTACGGCAAAAAAAGTAAAATTAGAAACATTGAGAAAGTAAAATTAGAAACATTGAGAAAGTAAAATTAGAAACATTGTGAAAGTAAAATTAGAAACATTGAGAAAGCAATTGTTATTCAACACATGCAAAAATTTCTACATTAAAACATCATTTGCCAAAATTTTGCACAAATTAATACCAAAATGTTAAGATCCCTAAAACCAATAACTTCCAGTTTTTCATCAATTTCCTTTTTAAAATTTCATTTTTTAGAGGTATATGCATAATTTCAAACAAATATAATCCCAAAATACACTGTGAAAAGACAGGGATGCAAAAACATATATCGCTCAGATATTTTCATACAAAAAGCACAGTGCTTTTGTGTAGGAAATGGCTTATCAAACAACTGTATGACACAGCTGCTTGTATGCACTGCAAGGTTACTAACCCAAAATATTAATCACCATTTTATATAATACAGCAGTGATTTGGTTTGGTTTACTTGATGATGGCAAAGCACTCAAGTGCTATCTGCCTAAGGGAAGCAATGTCTTCGTGGAATACTTTCTAACAAAACTGGCTTGTACATGCATTACCAAGGGGAAAACCACGAAAATGACCATGCAGTCAGCCCATTCATGAGATTAGAACCTCGGATTGAACTACCAGTATTCAACGACTTTACTGCTCGGCTGCTGGTGGCCTAAATATACCGATGTAAATGCATTTTGAATGCATATGTTTGCTTCATATCAAAACCAGGGGTTATTGCAGCTTCATTTCAAAAATCCTGAAAACTACTGTAGAGTATGAAAAACTCAGATAAATCAGAACATGAATGTAATATGCTTACATGCAAGCATGCATTACTTTTAAATAATTTCATTATAAAACAAAAGTATATTTTTTAAGTTTATTAATTTATGTTTCACTACTTTCACAAAGTTACCTGTTTGTTTTCTCAACATTTATAAAAATAAATGCTAAGTTTAGATTGTTTTGAGGGAGGCTCAGATTCTAGGAACTGCATTTGTTTTATTTTGCTTTGCTTACAACTTACAGCACAATCAACAAGACATTCTGCTATAAACAATGGTGTTTCACTTAATTCTTTGATTAAAACCTGAAGAATGCATATTAATAGATGGTGGAAATGAAGAACTCATAGCAGGGAAAAAACATAACAAATATGAAGAAAGCTTATGAAATGTAAATTATTTTATTAACTTGTCCAGCTATTCAATAAATTATTCTTAAAACTTTACTAATAGGCTCTTGAGAAGGATTTTCTGATCCAAAAATTTCACATATTTTTTGTTTAATGGCAATAAATAATATCAGGGATGTATATACACAACTCTTTCATAATACAGTACAAAGTCTTTACTCCGGATGTCCATAATCAGGACCTCAAAGCTACAAACTTTCTGTGCATGAGTAAACGCAAAATGCTTTATGCATGTGCGTTTAATGTATAACGGACGGTATAAGCTAGGCTAAAATTATCTATTTCAGTTAATGTTGCAGATTGTGTTGTTCTTTAATCTTCTAATTGGATTCGGCTTATTATTTTTTGCAGACTGTTATAGCAATATTATAAAAAGTAAGCTTGAACTTTCGATTATGTCAAAAAGAGTTTCCGATTCTGAAGCTGCCAAAGAATCTACAAAGCGAAAGCATGTTTCGATGTCCTTCAAACAAAATGTGGAATTGCTGCAAAAAAATGGATAAAGGCATGAAGAAAGTGACAGAGAGGTTAGTGAAAACAAAAAAATGTTGATCGACAAGTTAGTCGGTATTCTCGGCACAGCAATTACAGGACTTCAGCAGCAGAACTTTGTAATAGAACAAGAAATATGTCTGTTTATAGAATTAAAGAGAAAGTATTAGCACATAAAACGAAGCAACTTAAACAACTTACACTAAAAGAAATGTTTAATAACGTAAACAAATAACTATCAAGCTTTTTTTATATAAATTTTAATACTCTTTAGATCATAATTGCTCTGTATTTCATAAATTACAGTTTCATATTTTTAATTTTATAATTTCTGAATGCCATCTTAAAAGATTTAAATTGATGATCTATAATCAGGAAAAAACCTTAAATCCGGAATCGCCGATTTACTTTTCATTAATGTAGTAAAAATGAATTATAGCAAAGTACCTGCAGGTACTGTACCAACATCAGGTTTAAGTTATTGAAATTATGGAACTCTTTGCCTTAGTAGTAATAACTTTCAGGCAGACTTCTGAAGGAAGAGTGGTTTGTGGTGATAAAATCACAATTATCTACCAAGAGGCATGCTATCATGTATTTTAGATAGCATATGTATCAGACTGTATTTATAATACACTTGAGGAAACCCACAAGATGCATTTATATAATTAAAACGTTCTTGTTAACTACAATCAAACTCTTATCAACAATGAATGTTTTGTAGTTCAGCCAATAATCTGCTGTTACATTGACTGCAGTATGAATAATTGCTTACAAACAGCTGTGTTGAAGACACAAAAGGTAATGAATGATATTTCATGTTTTATTTTCCCTGTAAAATCTGGAACATGCTGGAAAACTAGATATCAATAGTATAAGCAATATGAAATTATTTTATGTTCAACCATGACAAGAAGCACTGTACACAGGAAAGTGCTTACTCCAAGTATTTCCATGCATACCGTTTAATGAAACTTCAAACAGCTGTGGCTGAAGTATAGCACCAAAAATGAACTGTTGCTACTTTAAAGCATAGTAAACCATTCTGCAAACATGCAAAAATTACTGCTGAAATTTTACTGCAGGCAAATACAATTTTCAAATTAAAAGAATAGAACAAATTGCAAATCTTAAATATTATAAGAATAAGGAAGGCACTAGAACATGACACTACCAACAGCCGTTCAATAAGCTGCACAGTTAATACAAGGCATGGGTGACCAAACTCTGGAACACTGCCTGTATATTCTAATTGTATTGGACTAATGCAAAATGATACGTGTTTACCATTTCCATGTTAGTCAGTACCTCCAGGTTAAAATTTTGCCCAGTGTTCTTTTAAACACTTCACCTCATCCAGACTTTTAACCTATACATCTTATCACCTTAAAAGCAAGTATTTAAGATATTTACATATTTCTACTTCAAACTTTTTGTTAGTTTGTCATATATCAAGCATATTAAAAGCTCATTTAAACATCTGCTTTAATTGCAATTAGAAAACATTTTTAAAAAATTATAAAAACATGATTTAATAATATAACAGGTAGATTTAGGCACAAGCAGAACCTAGGCAATTAATTATTAAAGATTTAAAAAATAAAATATACACTATATTTTTTTTTCAGACAGTAAAATTCTGAAGTCTTCAATAAATAAAAATTTTTATTTTTTTCAAATCACTAATTATTGGGTGTAAGAAGTTTCGAGTGACAAAATAAATGCTTGTAAATACAGCTAGAATATACAAATCTTCCCTCAAAATTTCACCAGTTTTGGATAAATGAGCTTTAGTTTGGTTTATTAGGCCTAAGAGGAGGGATGCCTTAGTGCAGGACTTTCTAAGGAACACTAGATTGAATGTATATGCCATTACACATGGGGAAAAGCATGAAAACCATGCAGCAAGCCCATTTACCAGGATTCGTATCTTGAACTGAATTACCAGTGTTCAGCCCTTTACCACTCGGCCACTTTTGGGCCTTGGATAAAAGAGAATAACAGAGCCAAAGAAATAGAACGCCTAGGATCATCATTAACTTAAATCTGCCATGATGTATTATATTCAAATGTACTTACCACACGCTGAGATTCCAAATCACATTTATTAGCTACTAATAACATAGGAAATTCATCACGGTCTTTTACTCTAAGAATCTGTTTATGAAACTTGTACATTTCATCAAGACTGCAGAGAAAGAAAAATATAACATTTACAATAATAAAGCTGCACTTACATCCCCCCCACACACACAAGAAAATTCCATTACTAAAAACATTGCAAACAAATTTCAAAATAAAATACATATTCATTTTTTACATTAAAGAACAAAATAAAACTACTTTCTTAGCACAGTTCATATACTTCACAGCGTTAACATCATACACATGGTATTAATGGAAGAGCAATATTGTAACTGATAATCATAAGGATAAAAAGAAGGATTTCATACTTCAATGGCAGTATTCTCTATTGAATAAATGTTACATCAAACAAATGTGATTAATATAATGTGATTAAATATATAAATAACTTTAATAATGAAAGGTGCTGAACTACCAATTTGAAATGCAATATCTCAATAGTAACCTGCATTAACAAAATCAAGTATTTTTTAGCACTTAGAACTTCAGAAAAATGAAGAAAAAAATTTAAGCTAAATCAAAAAATATATATCCTAAAATTGAATTAGAAAGAAAAACTATTTCCTGCAAAATACAAGAGATAAGCAAAATTATTTCAATGCTAAAAATTCATCCAAGAAAAGGTCATCAAAGCATATTTTAATTTATTAAAAAAGTTAACAGACTTTTAAAGGAATAAAAGCAAGCAAAAATAAAAATACCTGTTACTATCAGTAACTGAAAACACCAATAGAAATCCTTCTCCAGACCTCATATACTGTTCTCTCATAGCACTGAACTCCTCCTGACCTGCTGTGTCTAAGACTACATAAATATAAGAAAATTAATTGAAAGCTTAACAATACATAGACACGCACACATCTATCTATTTATATAAAGATGCATAAATGCATATGCACATCTTATATGTGCATGATGTGCTTTATATGTTACCTTGCATATTTCTCATCTTATGCACGTGCATAAGATGAGAAATATGCAAGGTACAATTCTAATTCTTAAGAGAACTGTTTTATTCCTGGGACCGGAGTCATTGCTTAATGTTTTGGTAAACTTACCAAGATACTGGTTCATATGAAGTCACCAAAGTTACCTTTCAAAATCTTTACAATGTTTACTTTTTTAAAAAGTAAAGGAATGTCTTTTCAAAATTGGCAACAAGAATTATAAATTCTTAAGATGTGTTTTGCACTTGTGTTTTTACTATTATTGTATTTACCATGGATGTGAAAATTTGGGACTTACCTTATAATGAAAAATCTTCTAAATAATTTCTTCAGGAAGGAAAAATTATTCACTGTGAAAGAAAGTGCACAAGAAACCATAAAATGAAGCTCTACTTCAATTCAAAGGAAGCACCAAAATGGAGATTAAGATATGACATGCCAAGGAAAAAAGGATTACATTCATAAAACTGGTTTGAAGTATCAAGAATCAGATCTCAATGGCAATTCATTTTATTTATGTACGGTGTTTAGAATTAACACCACTAAATTTTGTCAGTATGAAATTAATATGAATCAATGCACTGTTGTTGATTGGAAGTTATAAGGAAAGTATATTTCCATGCATTAATGCCTAGACCATCAGTTAAAATAGGCACCACTGGAAGTATTGGTCGAAGTTCATGAAGGTATGTTTTCGCGTAGAAACAACAATGCTGGTTGTATCCTTCTGCTCCAGAGGGTGTGAAGCAGGATTTGCCGTGAAAATGAAAGTCACTTTCAGTCACTGTGCCTATCCACTCTGCCAGAACTTTGCTTAAATTTGCAGAAGAAAATATTATTAATGGCACTATAATGTACTCAGATTGTTGGAAAAGTATAAGACTGAAGAATAAAAAGAGGCCGAATTTGAACATCTCTGCATTAACTTAAAATATAATTTTATCAATCCCGATACTGTCTGTCATACGGTGATACAGTCATTGAAAGGTTCTGGTACAATGCAAAATGGTGAAATAAACTTCAATATGGAACTGACCGTAACTAATTAGATTCTTATTTAATTACGTGCTGACAGCAACGTCCTAAAACACAAATGTTTCCTAATATTTTAAACGATATTCACAGTTTCATGCCTCTACTAACCGTTCCCCCACCTCCCTAATTGCTTTGCCAAATTGCTTAATTTACATTACACATTTCTAATTTTAAGTTATTTTTCCCCTTGCACTTTTCTTTAACTTAATCGTATTTTAAATAGTTTGGTGATTATTTTTATGCCTTGAATTTTTTTTCCAGATCATCAGCATTCAGCAATATCCAAATCCGGTCCCATTAACAGAACAGTACCCTTAAGTAGTATTAGTCCCTTACATCTCCTTTCTAATTCAGTTATTTCCCTTTTCTAACCTAAAAACAGTAATGTTCTTATAATAATTCTTTCCTAAAAGCACCACTTCGGAATTAATTCCCATTATATAACTCTTACATCATGCAACTGATACACACTGCGCAAAAAAAAAAAAAAAAAAAAAAAAAAAAAAAAAAAGGGACAGTTCTATATCTCCCGTTCTACAGGGCCGATTGACAAAATTCAAATTGCGTTTTTCATGTCTCGAAAGTGCGACTTAGGATATATATTAGATTTATATATAGCATTTTTCTAACATAGGTATTTTGAAACAAAATCAGACCTTTTTCTGAAATAACATACAATGTTTTTTCTATATTTCGATTTTATGACTCAGATTATGCCTAGATATTAAATTTTGTAAAATCTAGTGCGAAATTTAGCGAGAAATTCAAAAATTTAACTTGGCTCATTTTTTTCAGTTTGCGCCAAGAATAATTCACTTGACGAACTTCTTAATACATGGCAACCAATTTTCTTTTCCTTCCATTATGACGGAACAGGAAAAAAAGCACCTCGTTCCTATCTTTTCACATTGTGCATGAGTGAAAAAGAAGTCACTTTATTTCTATTTCCAAATAATTTTAGCAAAATGTCTAAACCACATTTGTTGTTTTATCGCTTTCAACAAATATGCCAAATTTCAAAATGAGCCAATATATAAATTCCCGTATATCTTCGGAATTTTTAAATAAAAAACTGTGATTTTTTGCAGGTACGCTTAGAAATACGTCTACTTTAAGATGATGGTAAAATTTTTATAGATTATAATTCAAAATTTTTTTTGAAAAATTTATAAAATTTATTTAATAATACAAATTTTAAAAATAAATCATAAAAAATGGGTGGATTTTATTTGGAACGAACCTGAATTTCGAAATATGAAAAGAAGAATCAAATAAGTTTAATTAAAAAAGAGAGATTATTAAATACATACCAAACTCAATTAACATTGAGGAGCTAAAATTTTGAAAGCTAATTTTTTTAAAACTACTTGTTCTTCGATTTTTACAAAACTTGGTAGTTTGACGTAATTTGAGCCGTAGAATTGAAATATGGAAAAAAATTAGTATGTTATTTCAGAAAAAGTATGATTTTGTGTCAAAATACCTACATTAGAACAATGCTGTACATAAATCTAATACATATCCTAAGTCGCTCGAATTTCATTAATCGGCCTAGTAGAACGAGAGATATAGAACTGTCCCCCCCCCGCAGTGTACTTATGTAACAGCGTAAGTGAAATCGGAGTCTTTTAACCAATAGTAATAAATAAATTTTCAAATATTTTAAACAATTAATAGGAATCATAAATTTGCTATTCTTAATTTAGTACCAATCTTTATACCATCAAATGCATCACTTCTATATGCTGTTAACATGTCTGTCACCGATTAAAATTATGCGAATATCTAAAACGCAAGTTAATGATTATGAAATAGTGGGTACATGTCTACCACCAATTTAGATGAGTATGTTTAACCTTTTGACAGGTTTCATCTCCCAGATGAAAGCTGCAAAATTCCATTTAAAATACATACAATTATGCCTTTTACTTCTCTAAATGTATAACAGATGGCAGCACTATCATTCATTCATAGAAATAATGTAAAATAAATATTCTTTGCAGGTCTAATTTTTGAGCAGTTTTTTTTTTTTTTCCCCTTTAATTTCTAATGCCATTTAAAACATTTGAACGACAACTTTTGGTGTTAGAATGAATATTTTTATGTGAAATTTTCCTTTTCTAATAAAAAATTATTATTTGAATTCATATATATTAATTAAGCATGGCTGAAATTAAAATGTGGGACAAATACGTCCCAACGCGCATGTAGGAACTGCTGCTAATAGATGGGAGCACCATTAAAATATTTAAAAATTAAAGTATCTAGTTCATTTTATATGTTGATAATGCAAATTTATATTTCTTAATAAATTGCAATAATGTTAAAACTTGAAAAATTTTTAGTATTTTTTCCAAAAGAAATGAAAATATAACTTTAACATGAAATGACATCGAATACTGAATGGATATGCGAGTGTGATACACCACAGAAAAATATCCTCAGCAGAGGAAAGAAAGGTGAAATGTAAATAATCATGACGGCCTTCTAAATATCTTCCTTTTCAAACATGTAGCAAACAAAGTACTGGAGCGAAAATATTCTCTGTTTCAAATCTCTTATGAAATCATTAAAAAATATCTAAAAACTCGTACAGAGAGCTTTTGTTTAAATTATTTAGTTTTTTTTTTAAATATTTTATTTTGCAAATATGATCAATATCTTCTACATAATAATTCAAAAACATTTTTTATATCTTGCATTTTCATTTGGTTGCTAAAACTAGCACTTTAGATAAAGCATGTTAGGAGAATTTACGCTCAGGCAAAGATGCCATTTTATTGCTCTAAATGCATGGTGGGACAAGTGGTATCCCACCACGTCATAACCTTAAAGGTTTACCTGTTTTTTTTACATGAAATAACATTGTATTAGGGGCTAGTTATCTATGTGTAAAGTTATTTTTTCCAAAAAAAAATTTTTTTTTATGCACCGAACCTCAAAGCTTTAAAGAGTAAACAGCATGCCCACAGATGTCCTTTATTTGGCCTTTAATTTTGAAACAATCACTCACAGACATATATTTCAAATTACAAAAAAAATGTTTTAATATGTATGTTTTATCATTTTTTAATTAATTTTGAAAAAGTTACAAAATCTAACATTTTATATGTTTATAAAGGAAAATATTACACTCATTACAAAAAGTTTAACCACAGTATAAAAAAGTTCACCATTCGCTATTGATATTTTCCCCCTATGAAAATGCTTCTTTATGATATGTAACCTATCATTAATAAAATATCTGTTTGATGTCCATAACATTAGCTTCCATATTCAGCACATAAAATTTTCCTTTTTTTTTTTTAACCCCTCACCTTCTTAGAAAATTCCCATTGCTAGCCAAATGTCTGTTACACTCATGTCATAATCACATTAGTGGCTAAAAGATTTATATTCAAATAAAAATACTGAAGCTGAGTTTTGCTAACACTTAAAAAAATATTTGATATTATTACCGTCAGGATTTTGCACTGCCAAAACATTTTATATCCATAACCACCACTCGCTGCAATGTGTGTGTTTGGGGGAGAAATGCAGACAGTATATAATGGGTACAAAAGAAATAAAATCCCCATTAGTCTACAGTCTGAAGAAAGGTTTCCCAAATGAGAGGAAAAAAATGACTCATTTAAACCTTCTTCTCCATTAAACCATTACTCTGGCACTTACAAAGAATTGGTTTTCAGAGAACTCATTAACTCTATCAAACATAACTTTGGCTTTGAAATCTACAAGTAATAGTTATAAAGGATTAAATTTACATATATTCAGTTTTAAAAAATTTACTCACTATCTAAGCGTGCAACTTGTCCATCTATGACACACTGCTTAGTATAAGAATCTTCAATAGTAGGGTCATAATCTGTGACAAAGTAAGACTGCAAGAAAAAATAATTGAGAAATTACCTATGCATATCAACAAAACATAAATATGTTTAAAAAAAATTAAGATGGAGCACAGAAAATACTTCTTAGGTATTTTTAATATGTGACATCTGACTATCACTATAAGCATTACTGCTCATAAAGCGAAGCAGATAGAATGCATGTAAGTAAGCCACTTCAATATTTATGGGAAAAATTCAATAATTCAGATGGATAAAACCTTTACTGCTAAATCAATTGATAAAAATAAATTATTATATCAAGAGAGAAATTACTAGAACTTGCACATATTTTACAAATCAGTAATTACTATCAACTTTATTTACATTCTAACACACAATTTCATATTTGTAAAATATTTACATACAGGAAAGTATGACTATATTTATGCACCATGCTGAAATAAAAATTTTCGAAGGGCCGCTATGAAAGGAGTACTTTTGTAGCTCTGTGATTGATTTTTCTGCAATTCTAACATAACCAAATACCTAAATATATGATTCTATAACCAATAAAATGATGAAATGTTAAGTTAATGATAAATAATGAAATGTTATTTTATGAAAAAGCAGCTCATTATGTTAGCTTTAATGATTTTACTTTTCTCTTACTCTTAATCTGCAAACATTAAAAACATTCCAGGATTTAAAACTTAATTCCTTATACATTTATACTGCTTTGAAATTAATAAATAAATGGCAGAATGTTAAAACACTGCAAAAAGATAATAGCTGATTACATCTTAAACACAAGTTCTCTCTTCATTTTAATGCCAAGCACTATTTCCTTTTATTTCAGGTGAACAAAATTCAAGTACTAAAAAACAGCAAAGACGCACTGCTAAAATTTAAAACTAAGTATTCCTTGAAGATCAGTACATTTAGTTTTAATAAAATAATCTATATAGAATAACAATTTTATGCATAAAAATCTCATTCATCTTTACTTGTTATAAAACAGTATTTCCATTCCAGTAACTCTTAATTTTACACTGCTGGTGATTCACTAATACATCTGTGCTTTTAAAAAATCGTATCTTAACCTTCCTTACTATTTTTTCAACATTCGGTATCAAATATCGGTTGATCTTTGAATTATGGTAACTTGGCGATTTTTTGGCGAAAATTTGGCCACCAACTCTGCTACAGCAAACCTCTACTTTTTTTATTTTCCACCATTTTGTCTTCACGAAGTAAAGACATATTTCTTTTCTTTTTATTTCCTCAACACTTTTCCCAACAATCTACTAGCCGAATTACACTTATGCTAGAAATTTTATGTAACAAAACTGCTTAATCATGACAAATATTAACTGCAAAATTGGGAAAAAGTGCACAAACTCCTTGTGCGTTTTTCCGAATAGCACATACACATAAACCATTTCCACGTCGACTTATTTTTACTTAAAAAAAATCCCAGAATTGCACAAAAATGGCATTGCACACACTCTTAACTTTATCCATCTACACTGCCATTTTCTCATAAATTACAAAAATTTGCACGAAAATGCAGGAAAATTTTCTTAATCTTTAAACTCGGTAAAAAGCACATATATGAAATTACCTGATCGCGAAAAAGTATATACCCTTTCCAAGAATGAACATTTCCACGTATAAAATAAATAAAATATCCAAAAGCTTTTACTCTAAATTATCTATTATATTATAAACGTCACCAACGAATTTTATACGCAAACATTAAAAATAGTTACAAATACTTAGTGTCAAATATTTAAATTATTTCCGTACAGGTTTTTACTTTACTTCAACTGAAACGTATACCAAATTCCTACAAACATAAAATTCACAAAATAACTATCATTTAAATAAAATATCACTAACCATGTACACACGTCGACTTATTTTTACTTAAAAAAACATCCCAGAATTGCACAAAAATGGCATTGCGCACACTCTTCACTATATCCATGTACACTGCTTTTTTCTCATAAATTAGAAAAATTTTACGAAAATGCATGAAAATTTTCTTAATCTTTAAACTCGGTAAAAAGCACATATATGAAATCACCCGATCGCGAAAAAGTATACACCCTTTCCAAGAATAAACATTTCCAAGTATAAAATAAATAAAATATCCAAAAACTTTTACCTCTAAATTATCTATTATATTATAAACGTCAGCAACGAATTTATATGCAAACATTAAAAATAGTTACAAATACTTAGTGTCAAATATTTAAATTATTTCCATACACGTTTACGTCAACTGAAACGTATACCAAATTCCTACAAACATAAAATTTACAAAATAACTATAATTTAATTAAAATATCACTAAACCATGTACACGTCGACTTATTTTTACTTAAAAAACATCCCAGAATCGCATAAAAATGGCATTGCGCACACTCTTCACTATATCCATGTGCACTGCTTTTTTCTCATAAATTAGAAAAATTTCCCGAAAACGCATGAAAATACTCAACGTATTCCAAAATACTACAAACATATAACTCACAAAATCACAATCATTAAATTAAAATATAATTAAATTAAAAAACACTACTTAAAAAAATATAAATAAGCACATACATTAAATTAATAAAAATTAGATTACAATCCTAATTACAGTTGATCTTTACAATATGGTAACTGGTAGTTTGTCGACATTTTGGAGGTGATAAAGGTTACTACCTGGGACTTTGGTAATAATGTGAGCAGTACTCAGTTCCGATTACGCATTATTTTGTGTGAGGGAAATGAGAGATCATGGGATATGTCATGTGATATTAATGGACGAATTACGGTTCTATAATCGGAAAAGGGGAGAAATCGGGAAAAAATCTGGAAATTTTGTATTTGGCTTTATTCCGTGTTGTGTAAAACAGTGTTCGTGAATTTTTGGATCCCATGTGGCCGTAACTAAAGTGAATTCGAAACGGGTATTTATGTATGTATTAATTTAATGTATGTGCTCATTTATATTTTAAGTAGTGTTTTTGAATTTAATTATATTTTAATTAAATGATAGTTATTTTGTGAATTTTATGTTTGTAGGAATTTGTATACGTTTTAGTTGAAGTAAACGTGCATGGAAATAATTTAAATATCTGACACTAAGTATTTGTAATAGTTGCGGTATGAATTCGTTGGTGATGTGTATAATGTAATAGATGATTTAGAGGTAAAAGTTTTTGGATATTTTATTTATTTTATATGTGGAAATGTTCATATTTGGAAAGGGTAAATACTTTTTCGCGATCAGGTAATTTCATATATGTTCTTTTTACCGGGTTTAAAGATTGAGAAAATTGTCATGTATTTTCATGAAATTTTTCTAATTTATGAAAAAAAAGCAGCGTACATGGATATAGTGAAGAGTGTGCGCAATGCCATTTTTGTGCAATTTTGGGATGTTTTTTTAAGTAAAAATAAGTCGACGTGTACATGGTTTAGTGATATTTTAATTAAATGATATTTTGTAAATTTTATGTTTGTAGGAATTTGGTACTTGTTTAAGTTGAAGTAAACGTGCATGGAAATAATTTAAATTTTTGATACTAAGTATTTGTAATGCTTGCGGTATGAATTCGTTGGTGACGGGTATAATGTAATAGATGATTTAGAGGTAAAAGTTTTTGGATATTTTATTTATTTTATATGTGGAAATGTTCATATTTGGAAAGGGTAAATACTTTTTCGCGATCAGGTAATTTCATATATGTTCTTTTTACCGGGTTTAAAGATTGAGAAAATTGTCATGTATTTTTGTGAAATTTTTCTAATTTATGAGAAAAAAGCAGTGTACATGGATATAGTGAAGAGTGTGCGCAATGCCATTTTTGTGCAATTCTGGGATGTTTTTTTAAGTAAAAATAAGTCGACGTGTACATGGTTTATGTGTATGTGTTATTTTGAAAAACGCATAAGGAGTATGGTATTGCGCACTTTTTCCCAATTTTGCAGTGAATATATTGTCATGATTAAGCAGTTTTTGTTAAAATTTCTAGCATAAGTGTAATTCGGCTAGTAGATTGTTGGAAGAAGTGTTCAGTAGATAAAGAAAAGAAACATGTCTTTACTTCATGAAGACAAAATGGCGGCGGGAAAAAAAAAAATAGAGGGTTGCTGTAGGACAGTTGGTCGCCAAATTTTCGCCAAAAAAACGCCAAGTTACCATAATGTAAAGATCAACCCTAATTACTTTAAACTAATTCATTGCTAATAACAATTTTCCAATAATACCATTTTAATTTATTTACTCCTTACATTTAGAACACTGCATAAAAATAATATCCTCAAATGATTAAAAATACTAACTTACCTAACTTCAGAATCTTCATTACGTGGCACGCACACTTCCCTACAGAAAGAGTTCCAATCGGCTGCAGTACTACTGCTAATTTCTAAATCCGAATCCAGTAGTCAACTTATTATTAATTATCACGTATTAAAAATTTAGAATTCACTTTACATAGCGCCATGCAATCCGAAAATTAATCAACACTATTTCACACAACACACAATGAAGCTTAATACAAAATAATTTTTCCAAATTTACCCCCTTTTCCGATTAAAGAACTGTAATTCGTCCATTAATGTCACATGACATATCTCATGATCTCTCATTTCCCTCGCACAAAATAATGCGTAATCGGAACTGAGTGCTTCTCACATTATTACCAAAGTCCTAGGTAGTAACTTTTATCGCCTCCAAAATGTCGCCAAACTACCTGTTACCATAATTCCAAAGATCAGCCCAAATATCTTAATCTTAACTGGTATAGGAAATAAGTTTCATGCAAGTTTAGGGTAAAGAGCAGAATTGTCCACTTATTTGTTTGCTGCTTTTTACAAGAGTAAGAAGATTGGATTTTTGTCAATTTTCTTCGACTTTTGAAGTGCAAATAGGTTGATGTGTACATGGATAAAGTCACGGGAGTGCACAATGCCATTTCTGTGCAATTCTGGGATTTTTTTTTTAAGTGAAAATAGGTCGATGTGTATATGGATACCGAGTATGTGCAATTCTTAAAAACGTGCCAAGCAGTGGGTGATACTGCACTTGATTTCTGCACTGCCCGAGTTTTAATTACAATGCTAATTTAATAGTTCGTTTAAAATAGCATTGAATTTCTGATATTGAAAATTTTTTTGTCGTATCAAAGGAACAATATCCCCATTCACATCACACACCGCATAGGAAAAAAATACGTTTTACTCCCAATACTGGACTTGTTTTAATTAATTTACTTTAGATTTCAATAGTAAAATACATCTGTTATAGTTTTAAGCTACAGTAACGAAATGATAAACGACTCTCAATGCTATAAAATAATCTACGTCTGACTCCGTTCGAAAGACAATACAAATAACTTTATTGAACAATTTCCTTTCACAATCCACCAGAACAATTTTTAAAAAGTTCAAATAAATACAGTGATTAGATTAAGAGTTCACGTGACAAGTGAGAACTGAGTAAAGTGCTAATTATATGAAAATAAAATTACAGAAAAGTAAATACTGAATACAGATACAAAATTTTAGTCAACAATCCTGTTACCATGAAAAGGTCATACAGTATCTTCTATTTTAATACATATAATCTCTCTCTATATACATACACACCATATATACATATAACTTTAAATTTGCTTTTTAAGAATAGAGAATGTTTGTTAAATTAAAAAACATATATTTTACTTTATATACAACTATATATATATATATATATATATATATATATATATATATATATATATATATATAGAGACGTAAGGAAACCTTACCTATTTGTACATTTTAAATAACTTAGAATGTTAGGAATATTTTTTTTGTTACGTAATATTTTAAATTCCATACCTGTATAAAGCGAATGGTTAATGCGCTTTTACCAACCCCACCACCACCTACAACTACTAATTTGTAGGTTTGTCCAATAGCGTTTGTTTCTGGTGTCCGAGGCATTTTACAGTTCATGTGATTTTCAAGTTCTTTGAAATGAAACTTAACAGTTTAAAAGGCGCAAAAAACACATTTGCGGCATGACTGCTTATTTATGTCTGCTTACAGAACACTCATTCATATCGATAATACGCCAGATTCCGATTACGCATCATTACGCCGCTTTACGATAGAATTCGTAGTCTTTGCTTTATGTCTGTCCTGGTGAGTTGGTCTAGCCGTCCGACTTCGGATGATTTGTCTGGTTGCCTAGCTTAGTATATTTTAATCCCAGTTGCTATTAATGGGCAATTTATGATTGCAGCAGCCGATAGATGACGCTGCAAAGTCATCTGCTTGGTGTAACATACAAGGAGGTTAACATACAAGGAGGGTTTGCAGTTTCGTCCAAAATCGGGAAATGAAACTACAACGAACAAGCGGCGTCCATGTTTGTAACTTCAAAATATTGCAATACGGCTGTGAAACGTACGTGTTTCTAAGCTGTTCCGTGCATGTATTTTCCAGTAAGAATATGTTAAATTTATAATGAAATGCTTCGTTATTGTTAGTTTTTTTTGTTTTAAAGTTATAATGATGATATCCGTAATAAACTATGTACAGAAAATTATTAAGAAATAGTTCAAAATCTAAATGCATGTGCATAACATTACAGCCTTTAAAAAATGATGTTTCTGAGTATTTCGAGAATTTTTTTAGGTTTTAGTAGCAACCTGTTGGGTGTACTTTCCAATTTTTTTCTTTAATAAGTGATATTTCTGATATATTCACAATATTATCATAATTTATTAAAGAATCATTTAGAATCACTTTAATCAGAAATTAATAGCAGATAATTATCTTAAAAAATAGTCACAGGTTGCATTTTTTAAATGAAAGTTTTAAATATATTCTTTTCACAACCTACAACCTCATAACAACAAGAAAATCAATATTAATACAATAAAACAAATTTATGTGAATTCAATGATTTCAGTTTATGCGTGTTTCATATTTATGAATCTCAAAGAAATTACCTTGAATTAAGCTGAATTACAGAAATATACCTCTATAAATTTTTAGATACATCTTTCTACACGTTCAATTGTTTAAATACTTTACTTACTTTTATCGCTATTTTGCCCAGAAATTTGTAAGTTTTTGCAAAAAAAATTTAACAACAGAACAGTTTATCTTAATCAAATGCACAAATTATATTCGTCACTGTTCACAAAATTTAAAAATGAATAATAATTAATACGTAAAGAAAAGCATTGCTTTATTTAACACCTTTACAATTCATAAAAATAGTAACAATTGATTTCTTACTTTTCAAAAAAATTGTAAAACGAATTACCTAAAACATTCAAATTGTGCAGTTTAAATCTTAGCATATGTCATTGTATGTTAAGGAACGAAGACACCAGCTACAAACAGAAACATTTAAATGTATTTAACATATTTTGATTATTATTAAGTCCTTTTTTTTCGCACCTGGAAAGAAAACAATATGATATTGTGATATTTTTTTTACATATTTATCAAATTAAATAAAAAAAGAAAATCAAAACGTACGAGTGAAAAGTAATCCCAGGAATCTTTTCCGAAAACCTATTTGTGCATCCATATGCAACACAAGCTGACATGCTTCAAAAAGAAAAGGAAAAAAATGTTACAATTATATAGACTTCCTTACACAAGTCAGCGATAATAGTAAAATAGCGGCCAAGCTTCACCCTTTGAGTTGACCCTTCCCTCCTTCTATTCTATCCTCCTTGGGAACATATTCCGCGATGAAACTCGGCGGCTCCGTAAGTCTAAGGCGTTGATTCGTCGGTCTAAAGTGTGTACAGTCGACTCCGTAGGTGTACGCTGTTCTAAATGTGCGTTGCAGCAACATATTGAAAAATGAAAAAAGCTGTACAAACTTCAGTGATTTTGGAATTTACGCTAGGTAGACGCGTGAATAATTGCGCAAAAGAAGACGAAGCAAATTTTAACTTAGGACTTAACATAACATAACATAACATTAGTGGCGCTTCCTTCTTATGAAAAGAAGAAAAAGAGCTGAGCCAATGTTGCCCATTTGCTCTTCCGCCATTTGATCATTTGAATCAAAAGTTTTAAATGGTAACTCCCGTGAAAGGTAAATAATAAAATAAATAGATAAGATTCCAAACTGACACCAAATATATAGCATCAGCAAAAGATCCCATCTCTAAATTCAGGGTGTCGGTTAAATCGTTAAAACTTCCCAATTTGATAAAGAGGTGATTCAATCCCTCCCAAACCACCAAACGCAAACTCTTGACCAAACATGGGTGCGATGGTGAGTTTAAAATAAAAAAATAACTAATTAATTAATTAATTAAGGAGGGCAGAGGAACTTTCTCAAGCCAAATGGCCAGGTCGTGTATAAAGATTTGATATCTATTTCCAAATTATATTCCAAAACACAGCTATGAGAGGGAAATCCCTGCATAGTTTCTTTTACAAAAAAAAAAAAAAGAAGAAGAAGAAGAACTCACAGCGCGTCTCAATGCTTGTTTCTTGCGGTTTCAAATTCACCTTACCTGTAGGTGTTTAGTATACATCAGAAATCCTATTATGCTAGAGAGCCCTTTGTATAGAAGGGCTTGATCAAAGCTAATATAGGGAAACCCAAGGAATTTGTTTCTAGAGACAGAAAAGACCGGACATAAAACGTCCAGGAAAGTGAAAAGGTGTTTCCTCTTCTTCTCCACAAGCTGGGCAGAGAGGAGATTCGACAAGACCATATTTGTGGAGATGCTTGGCCATATAAGCATGTCCGGTAACAATTTGAATTACCTGGCGTAAGTTAGTTCTACTGAGGTGTATGAGTTTACCCGATAAGTTAAGTGTTCTGAGCACCAATTTAGAATGAGCACAGTCTGGTAGTTTAGACCATATATCATCATGTTTGTTCTTTATCCAGCTTCTTACTTCTTTTTTAACAATTTGATGTGAAACTAGGTAAAAAGGTTCTGGGCCAGACATGGGTAGTTGCGAAGCATCTTTAGCTACTTTATCAGTTATTCATTTCCAGAAAAATCACAATGACCTGGGACCCAGACTAAACTAATGGTGTTATGGGCCTGAGCCAGAGAATTGAGATCTTGAGTACAGTTCAAAACACAGTTTTGTAACTTGACACGATTAGCCAGGGCAAGGATGGCTGATTGGCAGTCAGAGAGAATATATATATTCTTATCAACTGTATTTTTAGCTAAGAGCTCCCTGGCGACCATATTGATCGCCAGAACCTCGGCTTGGAAAACAGTTGTTAATTTACCAAGGTATAGATGAAATCTAATGAAATCTTCTCCAGATCCCTTGGTTCTTATAATAGCTCCAGCTCCGGTGAAGTTGCATTTTGATCCATCTGTGTAACATTAAATTGATTAATGTTACCCAGATTGTTGGATTAGGTCAATTAGTGATTATATCTTATTTCTTTTTGGTATATAAGTTGAGAATAGTTTATCTTGAACTATTGTTTTAGTAATTGCATCTTTGTGCATATAGATTATAGGTGCCCAAGTAGAGGCATATGTCAACGTGGCTTTTTAAGTGGCTTTTATGACCGAGCTTTAATTGCTTCTCCGCTCAAGAATAATTTCAAGGGTGGAATTTGCAATAAAAATTCTAATGCAGCAGTAGGGGTACTGTTTAAAGCCCCACTAATGCATAGGCAAGCAAGTCTTTTCACCTTTTGTAAAATGTTTAATATGTGCTTTTGTTAATAACATTGATTCAGACCCCGCATCCGTAAGAAAGCATTGGACCGGACTATGGCAGTATAAATCCATAGAGTAGATTTTGGATTTAAGGCCCCATTGTTTACCAACGATTCGCCTGCAAAGTACTAGTACATTTGTGGCTGTTTGTGCCTTTTTTTTTATATGGGTGATCCATGTAAGTTTACTGCCAGGTAACATCCTAGGTATTTAACGCATTCCTTACGTCTGATAATCTGGTTACCCAGATATAAATCTGCCAGTTTCCATTTCCTTCTCCACGTGAAAACTATGACCTCAGATTTTTCAGCAGAGAAAGAATAGGCCATTTGTTTCACCCCAGTGTGAAACTTTATTCAAGAATCTGCTGAGCTTGATTGTGTAGGGTTCCGATATCGAAACCCTGTAGTAACACAATAAGGTCATCTGCATAAGCCTGTGACATGCCAGGTTCCTCCCGTAGAAGTACTAAGAGTGAGTCGAATACCAGGTTCCACAGGAACGGAGAAAGAATACCACCCTGCGGACACCCTTTAGTAATATGTCTCTTTACTTCACAGTCAGTGAGACTAACGCAGTATTCCTGTTTTTAATCATAAAGATGATCCATCTAGTTATCATAGGGTGAATATGACTTCCAATAAGGGCCTTATGTATTTTCTCGAAACCGATGTTATCAAAGGCTCCTACAATATCCAGTAGATTCCCAATGGCAAAGTGCCCGTCTATAATTTTTTTTAATTCTCCACACCAGTTGGTGTAGGGCAGACTCAGTGGAGAGGCCAGGCCTAAAACCGTGTTAGTCTAAGCCAAACGTATGGTTCAGATTATTATCTGACTGGCGGTGCCAGAAAATCAATCGCTCCAACAGCTTGAGCTGGAAGGATGGTAGCGTAATCATTCTAAATGAGTTTGGTTTCTCATATGTATCTTTTCCTGGTTTGGGAAGAAACACACCTCGTGAAGTTCTCCACACCTTAGGAACATATCCTAAAACCAAACTGGATTCGAATGTGTCCACGAGAATGTGGCCAAAAATATCCCAGCCTTTCTGAAGCAGAATTGGGTAAATGCCATCGTTCCCTGGAGATTTAAAGGGAAGAAATACATCTAGGGCCGCTTTAGCCTTTTCAAAGTTCACTATTGTCTTAGCAAAATCCAAATCTAATGGATTATGAAGTAGTTCCAATGGATTTTCCTGGGGGTCAGAGGTGACACTTGTGTCCCCCAGATGAAAATTCAACATGGTCGAAAGTGTATCCAAAGGGTTTATAGTATAACTGCCATCTGGTCGCATAACCGATGAGAGTTGAGACTCCTGAGATCTTTTAAGAATCTTATGTACTCTGGCAGTCTCATGGTAGGACAGAATATCTGTGCAGAAGGATCTCCATGAGTTGTATTTAGTTTTCCTGATTTCACTTTTAAATTTCCTTTGTAGAATTTTGAAGTTAGACCAGTTAACTTCAGATTTATTTCTGACTGCTTTCCTGTGAGCTCTCCGAACCT